AGTTCACTGTAATTCCTTTGCAATATATACAGTTGGAAACAAATATGTAACTAACAAAAACTGAAGGAAAACAACAAGAACAAAAAGAACAAATAAACCAAAAAAGCAACCTAAACCCTCCTTCACCCCCCCCCCCCAAAAAAAAACCCCCGCCTCAACACCGAAAAACCCAAACCAGAAATAAAGCAAAACTAAACAAAACCCCCTCACCAAAATCAATCAGTAATCCGTAACAGATATAGGCCTACTACGTTAAGACAAAATTCACCAAACCCTATTTCTGTTTCTTTGTTTTGTCAGCAATTCGCTTTTGCGTCCCCAGATTTCATGCACATCTGGCGTGACCCAGAAACGGGTGATATTCCCTGGACTGGAGTCATCTTTGGCCTCATATTCAACGGCGTCTGTGTCTGGTGCACTGACCAGGTACTGGACAGTTACGCTCGTTTGTCAATCATCATCATCGGCTTCATCATCATTGAATTTCTCATACCCTTTTCTTCTCATTTCCCAAATTTGTCAAGAAATGCCGTTTCCTTCCCATTTCTTTTTGAAGTTTTTTTTATTGTGTCAAACAATATTATACGATTGCCCTCTCATGTTTGTTTTTTTCCTTTATTTCTTTTCTTTCTTTTTTTCTTTCTATTTCTTTTTGGTGGGGGAGGGGGGAGGGATTACCAAACAATAACCCCTTTTCTCTGATGTCGGGTATTTTCCCCCTTTATGTTTTCTTTTTTGTTTTTGGTCAAACAACTTTCTCTTCTTCCTTTTGGATTTTTATTGGGGGGGGGGGGGGCGGCAAACAATACTATTTTCTGCCCGTTTCGTTTTATTTTCCTTAATTTTGTCAAATAATAGACTTTTCTTGCTATTTCAATTTTTAATTTTTTTTTGCCAAACAATACACTTTTCTGCCCTTTTCCATTTATTTTCTCAAACTCATATTAGAACATCTTTTTTCTACAAAATGCACTTCAGTACATTTTCTCTCTGCACAGATCAACGTCCAAAGATGTCTGTCTGCCAAGAACATCAGCCACGCTAAGGGGGGCACAACCTTCGCTGCCGGCCTGAAGTTACTTCCCTTTGTGCTGTGGATAGTTCCTGGAATGATTAGCCGAGTTCTCTACCCTGGTCGGTAATATCACCACAGTGTTGTTCTGAAATAGGAAAGCTCTGTGCCTAATACACAGTTTACATTCATTGGCACGATCGGTTCGTTTCGGTTTGGTTGACGGGGTTAATCAGGTTGGGGGCGAAAAGTGACCATCGTGGCACAAACCGTACGAAATCGACGGTGACCTTCAAAAACACAAGCGTTTGTTTTCAAGGTCGCGAATCGAGCGACAGGCTTGTGTTAGAGAACCGATCGCCCAAATTAAGGGGCAATGGGAATAACGCGCTGAAGTCGTGGGTTTTATTTTCACGAGGGGAGGATATAGTCAAACCTGCTTTAAAGGCTACATGTCAAAGACGATAACTTGTTCAAAGGACCTCTAGGATTTTCTAGTTTTACATGTAAGTTCTGATGAAAAATGTTTTGCCATATTCATAATCAGTGATTTAAAACTACCGTTTACAAGAGAGGTACAAGAAACAGCACTCTTTATTTACAAGGGAGGTACAGGGAACAGTGAATTACATGACGCAAGATACGTGAAAAACGCTTGAAAACCCCCACTGAAAAAAGCCACTGTGAGAATGAGGGTGTGGTTAGGGAGGGGGGGGGTTGTGTTTTGAAGGGGAGGGGTGGTGGTGACAAAGTTTACGTTTACCCACATTTAGTTCATTTCTTTCCAACTCCAGCCATCTGAACATCAGTTTCAAGAGTATTTTCAACATTTACGATAACTGTTACAGATGAGGTGGCGTGCGCTGATCCAGAGAGCTGTGAGAGGGCGTGCAGCAACAAGCAAGGCTGTACGAACATCGCATACCCGCTACTGGTGCTTAGGATGTTACCTACAGGTGAGAGAGAGGGGGGAGAGAGGGAGAGAGAGAGAGAGAGAGAGAGAGGGAGAGAGAGAGAGAGGCAGAGACAGAGACAGAGACAGAGAGAGGAGAGGAGAGGGAAAGAGAGAGGGGGGAGGTAGAGAGAGAAAGAGAGAGAGAGAGGGGGGGCGATTGAGGGAGAGTGGGTGAGAGGAAAAGAGAGAGGA